CTTTACTTTTCCTGTTACTCTCTTTTAGTGAGCGCATTTTGCTTACGATCTGGCATTTTGACACTTTTCAGATTTTAGTCCAAAAAGATAAGGAATGAACCTAATGCAACTATTTTGCCGAAGGGTCTACATAAATATAGTGTTTATTGTGTGAAAAGCGCCGAGAGGTTAGTTCAATTTACAAACTTTAACAACAAATAACTTAAAAACTATAAGCCTCCTGCGGCTAAAAGTATATATATTTGCAATCAGGAGAACTCCCCCTACCCCCCATAGCCACCTTTTTTTGTAGTTTGCTTCCCGATATACACTTTGGAGCGAATTGAGATTTGACGTTTTGACCATGTTGATGATGATGTTGTTCAGGTTGTTGTTCATGTAATCTTGCTACCGCCTTATATAGATTTCCTTGGTTCAAAAGTATCGATGCTTAAATTACTTAGTATCGAGCGATAAGTATCGAGTATGTAGTTGTATCGTTTCATTTCTAAGTTTCCCTATTGGCCACCTCATCTAAGAGTCTAAATAAAAATTTTCCAGGCATGCTCTTAAGATTATTTCTAGTACTTTCTGCATTTCACTTAATAAATGGAGTAATGTTCAACATTAAGCCGAACTCCCAAAAATGTCTAAAAGAAGACATTCAGCCAAACCAATTGGTAAAAGGCGAATATGAAGTGTCTAATATACCCGGCCAGATAGTTGACTACATCGTAAGTTGAGAAAGCATTTATAATTTCGTGTCTCTACCTACTGCGTGTTATACAATTTCAGGCTCGAGATACCAAGGGACACATTTTGTCGAAGGGAGATCACATAACAAAGGGGAAATTCACATTTATGTCGGAAGTTTATGATACATACGAGATTTGTTTTATTTCGAAAGTACCACCGCGTAAGTTGAACATAATATTAAAGTCTAATGTATTTTAAACCAAGGTATTGTAGATCAAAGAGGTATTGAACAGGAAGTCAACTTTAATACTAAAAAGGGTGTGGAAACGAGGAACTACGAAGGAGTAAGTAAAAAATTATATTATGTGGGAGGTTGGGTTTTACTCTGGCATCCCCCGGAACTCGGCGAATATTTTCCGGGTTGTCTTTAGTGTGCACACATGTGTGTGTTTCAGCAAAACTATAACGAATTTTCTCATGAAACTTTACGAGGATGCTAAGAAGCAGATATGTTTATATAAATCCTCACTTTTTTCACTTTTTTAAACGTAGTATTGGGAAATGTTTAGTAGCTGACCAATCGTTTTTGGGGTTTCGGGCTGAGATGGGGGGATGGCACCCCCCGCCCCCCACAAGAAAGGCGGCAGTCCCCACTTTCTTAAAAGGCGTACCCCCCTTTGGGCACGTCCCACAGGCCCCTAGGGAACCGTTTGAAAAGGGGGAAAAACGGAATTTTCTTAGGCAAACTGAGCAGTTTGAAGTGGAATATGACATTCCCACGACAGCCGGTTCTACGTACCGGAATGACTCGGGTTTTACGCGACCAAGGGCTGTTGTTTCGGCGATCTAACCCCGTTTAGGTCGGCGAAGTATCTCAGAAGTTGTCCGTCCAAAGGGCTACATTCACTACGTATTCTCCTACTCAGGGCTGGCATCGAGTCAAACCCAGGGCCAGAAAACCTACACCTGCTGTGTATGCCGGAGACGATTACACCACAACTCCACCTCAGTCAAGTGTAATGCCTGCGAGGGGTGGAGTCACCTCAGAGTCTGCTCGGGACTACGGACACATAGACAGTGGACAACGTCGTACGTGGCCCCCTGTTGCTCAAACAGAGCAGCCTCCACGGCTAACCACCGTCCGCCCGAGCAGCCTCACACACTCACACAGCAGCCTCACACAGTCACGACAACACAACAACATAATAACACCACAGACCTACCACAGTCACTACAAACCACACAATCTGCACGGTATGTCAGACCAGGATATTCCGTAATGTGACATCAGTCAAGTGCAACACCTGTCTTGGCTGGTGCCACTTTAGGGCATGCTCAGGTCTGCGTACCACGCGAGATTGGACTGGGAACTTCGAGGGCCCGTGTTGCGCTGCTCGGTCGCAGACCCCGATTGCGACGTCCCCGCCACCACCACAGGGCGGCAATCACCACAGCAGCACACACAGCCAACGGCGGCAAGAACATACACTTCACTTACACCCCACATCACGACACGTCTGCCGAACCACATGAAGCTCCTTCAATTTAACTGCAACGGGCTACAGAGCAAGATTGAGGAGATAACCGTCTTCATGTGTCGGCATGGTATATTGATAGCTGCGGTCTAAGAGACGAAGTTGCACAGCAATTCAACTTTGTTGAATTGCGCCGGGTACAACGTGCACCGTCAAGATCGCGAGCGAGATAATGGTGGTGGCTTAGCGTTCATCACGCACCACACCGTGCAGTATCGTCTTATCGAAGCAGACATCGACCGCAGGGATACCACCCTAGAATGTCAGGGCATCGCTATCCGGTCAGGCGACGTCGAGCTCGAAATATTTAACATATACATACCCCCTGTCACCTGCTGCCCGGCAGGATATCCCTCTGATATAGGTGCGCTCCTCAGAGGTGAAAACCGTATGGTAGTAGGTGACTTGGTAATTCTCTAGGGTGGGGTAACAACCCCTAAAAAAGGTGCGGAAAAGTCGGGAAGGGTACCAAACAACGCGTTTCGGCCCCCCCTAATAACAATCCGGAGGGGGGGAGGGGGCTAATATTATTAACCATTTAAAAGTTATGAACAAAAAACTTTTGTTAAATTTCGTTGTTTTCTATGGGCAATTACACCGACAAAGATTCACTAAGTCACCTGTTCTCACTTTTTAAACACTATTAAAATATATAATTTAACTTATTTATTAAAGAAACACATAGTTTTATCAACCTAAGATAGATTATTTTGTTATTAAAAAGAAGTTGACAATCTTTGCGAGCTGAAACGCGAGATTCCAAAATAGCTATAGTGCTGCCACTGCATTAGTATTTCGTAATAATTCACTTTTCCTTATGAGATGTGTGCACTCTTCAATGCTTTTCGGTATCTTCTTTCGTTTAATATATATATAAATAATGAAAATTTTTAATAAAAAATCGCGCGATTTTTTATTAAAAATTTTCGGCTGCGCCGCTTTTTCCAGAAAAATCAATACTTCGATAAATAATGAAAATTTTTAATAAAAAATCGCGCAATGGGGGGTAGGGGGAGTTCCCCTGATTGCAAATATATATACTTTTAGCCGCAGGAGGCTTACAGTTTTTATCGCGCGATTTTTTATTAAAAATTTTCGCCTGCGGCGCTTTTTCCATAAAAATCAATACCTCGATAAATAATGAAAATTTTTAATAAAAAACCGCGCGATGGTATAGTGAAATTTGCTATTATATTTTGGTTACAATATCTTATTTAGATGAAAGTAAAAAGAAGAAGAGGAAGAAGAAGAAGAAGAAGAAGAAGAAGAAGAAGAAGTGTATAGTGTAAACTGAGTATAATAGCGCAAATGAAATGTGAAATAAAGTGGCAATACCAGCGATTTGAGGTTATAATAATTTTAGCAGGCGCAAAGTTTGTTTACTCTGTTTTATTAACGAAATATATAAAATAAGAGTGAATAAATGATTTGGTTTGCATAAAATAATAACCGGAAACGTTTTAGTAGTGTTTTAAAAGTGGAAACTGGTGATTTAGTGCATTTTTGACGTGGTAATTGCTCTAGGAAAACAACGAAATTTAACAAAAGTTTTTTGTTCATAACTTTTAAATGGTTAATGATATTATCTCCCCGCCTCAGGATTGTTATTAGGGGGGCCGAAACGCGTCGTTTGGTACCCCTCCCGACTTTTCCGCACCTTTTTTAGGGGTTGTTACCCCACCCTAGAGAATTACCGGTGACTTTAATGCGCACCACGATCTTTGGCACTCAAGCCTGTCAAACGATCGTAGGGGAACAGACTTGGCTGAGCAGATAGACGATTCGACATTCTGCACAATGAACGACGACGCACCCACCAGGATTATGGGTAACTGCAGTAGCTCGTCAGACATCACAATAGTTAGTGCTGGTCTGATAAACAGCATAACATGGCGACCTATGCTGACTCTAGCATCAGACCACCTACCCATAGTCATCTCGATAGATAAACAAACCGACTTTGCCTCCGCCAAACACCGGACCTATATCAACTTTTCTAAAGCTGATTGGAAAGGTTACGCGGAAGCGGCTGTTCTAGCCGATGAGCGTGATAGCCTTCGTCAGGCCGATCCCGGAGATCCCCGTATCAGGGATCTCAACGCGGCAACTAGTAAACGTACATAAGCGGAAGAAGTGGGAGGAGCATCTGAAGACCTCCAATTTCACCTCTGGTGTGAGCAAGCTTTGGTCAACCGTGAGGTCATTGTCTAATCCGACGAAGCACGACGACAGAGTCGAAATTTTCTTCGGCGACCATGCCTCGTCGGACCCAGAGCGATGCGCGAGCTATTTTAGCCAGCAGTTCATACTGCATCCTCCGGTGGACAAAGCAAAGCGTCGAGTGACCAGAAGGCTGCACAAACTGCCAACAACCTGTGCCCCCCTTGCTTTCACTTGCGGTGAAGTTCAGGTAGCCATCGGGAAGGCGAAAGCCTCCAAAGCCATGGGTCCCGACGGAATATGCATGCTGATGCTGAAAAATTTGGGTCCTGCGGGGGTAGCGTACCTAACGGAGGTCCTCAACTTGTCAATGGCCACTCTCATCATCCCAGACATCTGGAAGGTGGGGAGAGTGGTCCCACTGCTCAAACCGGGGAAACCTGCCAACAAAGGAGATTCGTATCGTCCGATAACACTCCTTTCCCCGGTAGCGAAGACACTCGAGGCCTTGCTACTCCCGTACTTCACAAACCACCTGACCCCAGCGAAGCATCAGCATGGTTTCCGTAAAGTGCACAGTACAACAACAGCACTTAACGCCATAATCACTCAGATAACTCGTGGCCTTAACCGAAACCGTCCCTGTGAGAGAACGATTCTAGTAGCGTTGGACTTGTCAAAGGCGTTTGACACCGTCTGCCATTCCACGCTACTAGAAGATATAGAACGGTGGTCGGCAAATTATCTGAGTGGTCGACATTCGTCGGTAATGTTTAGAAACAAAACGAGTAAGCAGCGAAAAATAAAACAGGGGGTTCCTCAGGGTGGTGTCCTTTCCCCGCTACTGTTTAACTTTTACATTTCAAAGCTCCCTCAACCACCAGAGGGAGTCTCGATTGTCTCTTATGCCGACGATTGCTCGATCATGGCGACTGGGAATGGAATTGATGACCTGTGTTCGAAAGTAAACGGGTATCTCTCCGAACTTTCTCGCTTCTTCACTGCAAAGTGTCTAGCCCTCTCCCCTACGAAATCCTCTGCGACCCTGTTCACAACCTGGACGAAGGAGGTCAGGCTACCGCTGGGGATTCACGTCGATGACACACCAATTCCGACGGTGAATAACCCTAAAATACTCGGAGTAACATTCGACAGCCTGCTCCCCTTCTCTGCGCACTCAACCGCTATTGTCAATAAAGTACAGAGCCGCAACAAGGTCCTCAAGTCGCTAGCCGGCAGTACTTGGGGCAAAGGCAAAGAAACGTTGCTGCCAACATACAAGGCAATAGGCCGGCCGGTTTTGAACTACGCAGCGCCAGTGTGGTCGCCAGGGACTAGTAGGACGCAGTGGACGAAGCTACAGACTGTACAGAACACTGCACTCAGGACAGCGACAGGATGCCTCCTGATGTCGCCTGAACACCACCTGTACGGCGAGGCGCAAATGCTCCCTGTAAAGGAGCACAATATAATGCTCTGCAAGCAGTTCCTGATCGGGAGCCACAGAAGTGGCCACCCAAGCAGAAAGCTGCTTGCAGAGGAGCCCTCGCCTAGGCATGTCAGGAGGCATCTATATGAACTGACGGACGAAGTCCAGAGGTTCATTAAGCAACCTCTGGACCCGACAGCGTACCGACAGGCCCTGAACGGCATTCACAGGGACTCAGTCTCGAGTTATGTAGACTCTAGACCTGTGAATGCCGTTCTGGGCACACCACCCCCGGACATAGACGAGACGGAGCTTCATCTGC